CAGCAGTTACCATTTACACAGTCTTGCTTAGCCTTTCCAAGGTTGGTCGAAGTCACCTGCTGTGACTAAGGAAAAATATTTCAGCTATACATTATTCTCTTCAAAACAATGAAGTGTGAGAAAATAAGAAAACTGTTGTCCATTAAAATATGTCAGAATGAACATAGCCAGTGGTGGGATTCAAATATGTGAACAACGGGTTTTCTGTGTGGATGCCGCTTCCGGAAGTCCATTCTGGGCCTGGGCAACAAAAAATTAGCTACCGGTTCTGCCGAAGTGGTGCAAACTGACTGAATCCCACCACTGAACATAGCTAATCTTTGACACATTAAGCAAAATCCAAGAGCCTACTCATGTCATATTAATAATGGTTCTTTTTTTTAAAAAAAAATCTTCCACTCATTTTCAAGAACAATCCTACTGGGATATAATTATTACTAAGTCATTTTAAAATGTCAAAAAAAAATTAAAACAAATGGCAATTATTTTCCAAGGCTAATTTCTTTTTTAATGTCCAGCTCTTTCCAAAGGACTTAACCTAGTTAAATATCTTTTAACACAAATATATTTTAAAAATCTTTATATCCCAAATATATTTTAAAAATCTGAGAGATTTTGGGCTGAGAGAGAGTGACTGGCCCAAAGTCACCCAGCTGGCTTTCGTGAATAAGGTGGAACTTGAATTCACAGTCTCCTGCTTTCTACCCTAGAACCTTAACCACTACCCAAACTGGTCTTTCTTGGAGCTAGTGGCTCAGTATCTTGGAGCTAGTGGCTCAGTATGGGAAATGAAGGCCATCATATCTGAAAAGTGTAAGGAAGTTTGGTTAAAAAGACTGTGGCCATCTAGTCAGGTTTAAAATTACAATGTATTCTAAACTATGCTTTGTCTCTATTTTAGTTGCATCATATTGCAGTTATGTTACATCCAATCATCTTTTCTTCTGCGCTCACCTTGTGCGTATGCTTTTACAAAGCTTTACTACTAAATGCAGCAATCTTGCCTATTCTAAACCTTATTTGATCAGTCTTCTAGATGTACATCTGACTTTTTCACCCAATGAACCCATCTTTTCCTTCTACCATAAAGCACATAAAGAAACATAGGAAAATTGCTGTAACAATTTCATAATACTTCTATGCGTTTTCATGAATATACAATTAACATACATCAAACCCATTTGATCAACCATTCATGGAAATCCAAAGTACAAAAGTTACGATCATGCTTTCAATTTCAAACAAATCACTACTATATTTTACTAAAGGTGCTAAACCAATTGATAGATTTTAGTCATAGTCAACTGGTTTTAGCAGTTTACTTAAGACGGCAGATGCTTTTATGGGTAATAGAAACTAATTTCAATTTACTGTTGTTTTTAAACATAATTCTGCTTGAACCAGTGTTTTGATCCTAACTCCAGCCAAAGGCCATAAAAATAACTAGCATTCACACATTAGAATGAACTGCACGCATGAGTGCTCCAAACTTCAGAAGGTCACAACAGACAGCGGGAGAACATAAACAGCCCTCTTTCTTTGTTCTTGCATTTCTTTATCAACATTTAATTACTAACATTTCTGACTGTATTAGGAAGGGAAAGCTCTATGCTGAACACTCTGTTCTGAAGCACAACTTAGTTCCCTTCTATTATCAAAGAAGCAATTGATTGGCATACCAGAATGAAGTACATTATTTTCAGACTAAAAAAAAGTGCCCATGAACACTAAATGTTAACTTTAATCTAGAGCGGTGAGAGGGACACACTGATTACATATTTAGGATATCGTTTGGTCAGCTTCCAAACTCAATCAAGCCTACAATGCTGGGATTTCCTGGTGATGTAAAACCACTTTCTGATCCTATTTAGCATTTTGCCCCCAGATCAGCCAGTTGGAATGTATCCTTTTGATCGTCCAAAATTTAAAAATCTGTAGGTAAGCTCTGAGAACAGTGTTTTGAAACATAAACTGCAGTCCAACTGTTCTTAAAGGTACTAAGGTGTCTATTTCAAGTATTAAGGTTGTTAGAACATACACTCTCTTCTCTATCAGGAAAGTAGATTACAAGTGATCACAGCTTCCAACAGAATAGAATATCTGTAGCTCAGGGTTCAAACTGTGGAGTCATTGGCACTCTAAGGTTGATTGTTTGCATTCACAATTGTGAATGCATTTCAATAAATTTGTTCAAGCTGCTTAACTTTATTTCTTTAAATACAACAACAAACTTATAAGTTACTTCTTTTACTGATAACAAGAGGTCAATATAGCATCTTCCATTATTAACCAACTAGGTAACATCATCAATGCAAGTGAGGGTGGGGTTTGCTCCCTATTTATATATAGTCAATATGTACATTAACGATAGCTAGCTAGAGGGAGAAATAGATGATGGATGATAGATGGTTGGTAGATAGATAGATAGATAGATAGATAGATAGATAGATAGATAGATAGATAGATAGATAGATAGATAGATAGATAGATAGATAGATAGATAGATAGATAGATAGATAGATAGATAGATAGATAGATAGATAGATAGATAGATAGATAGATAGATAGATAGATAGATAGATAATAATGATGATGGATAGAAGATGATAGATGATAGATATATAGATACATGATGATAGATGATGATAGATAGATAGATAGATAGATAGATAGATAGATAGATAGATAGATAGATAGATAGATAGATAGATAATAATGATGATGGATAGAAGATGATAGATGATAGATATATAGATACAT